GATCCGTGGAGGTGGTACTGTCTTTGCGGTATGAGATCTCTCCGAAAGGTCGTCCTGATGTAGGGGGAGCCATCAGCTCGGGTCACAAGCGAGGAGTGAACGAATTCGAGAAACTCAGGGATGTCAGTGAACACGTCGACTTTGGCAGTGGCGTTTTGCAGGGGGTTGTGGAGGATCACCACTCGACCGGGAATGTCCAGGGACAAGCCACGGATGGCCTTGTTGTCGGTCGTCCAAGTAGATTGCTGCATTGCGTCGAGGTGGCGATTTGAAAAGTGTTGCTTGCTGTATCTTGGTTAGGAGTGACAATATTTGATTTACATACATTTTATACAAGGCACCCATCGCGAATGTATGTAAGTTCACCTGGGATTTTCGACTTGTCGCACAACGAGAAGTGTTAATAGTATTACTAGTACTCCGGAATAGTAACTTATCAACACTGCCTACACCATTTTTCGTTTAAGTTCGGGTTATTTCCGGTATATTTCGTCCGACGCACAACTAATTCACGCCATGGGCGTTATGTTCGCCAAGCATTCAATATATTTCGTCCAGACCCTTCTTCGTTGCATTATATTTCGACTAATGTCCAATACCAAGGACTTACGAAACATCCGGTTAATTAACCGGTAAATAAGGGGGGGCTCCTCGGCCTGGTTCGCTTCGCTCCCGGCCTCCGGTGCTCCCAAGGATTATATAGATCATTGCTGTGATACTGAGTCGCTGCGCGGGCGAACGGGCCTGGTTCCCGGCCCTGGCCTAAGCTAGCTCCTAATCGTTCCGGATAAGTTGTTTCGTGTTTGTTTCCATCATTCTCTTTCAAAATAAAGTATGAACTTCACTATCGGAGTGTTGATCTTGTTTCGTAAAAGGGTAAATATGTATCAATATATGTCACCTCACAGACGGTATATTTCACACATTGTTCAATATATTTCAAATGATGTTCCATCCATTTCGATTTTCGAAGCAAATCAAGTAAATCGAAAGGTGATGGATACTTGT